ACGAAACAGTTACGAATCTTAGCTTTAAAATTAATTATTTAAAATGTATCCTAGCATTTATGGTGTTTTGATGTCTTGTGCATTATTCACAGTCAAAAGCATTCAAAGTGAATCGAGGATATTATTGATGATGAGGCAAAATGTATTTTAATAGCAGGGGAACTCTGCATATAGCATTTTATTAAAACACGCAATTTTAACCCAAGATATGTAAATGAATTTAGTTTGTAATGTGGTGCATGGGATAAGGGTGTTGGGACCGCGTGATGAAGTAGTTACGTCATGACGTAAAAGAATGGCAGAATCGCTTTTTTCTTACCCGTTCAAAAGAACCGATTCGCCAAATTAGTCGAACTTCCCATCACTAATTTATTTCATCCGAAGAATACCGCACACTTCTGAATAAACGTAACCAGCACTCTTGAGCTAATGTGAGTAAACGTTTAGTTGGCGGCTGCAAAGGCAGCATGGGATGACAGCATCTCGCGCTATTTCTGTGTGATTACACTACGATGCATTTTTGCCTAAGAGAAATAGCTTTGAATCTTTCTGTCTATACACAGAAAAGAAAGCGAATATATATTAAACCTAACAAGAATGTAATATGTTGAGATGTGGAAAAGTATCAGGGCAGATTGTAGAGTCAATGCGGAATTTGTCACTCTGTGTAACCTCATTGAGGTTTGTTATGCAACCAGTCGATATCACAGAGCAAATTGCAGATGCTTTTAGGGCCGTTTTTGTCAGCCTATCCATAGGACTATCCTATAGTCTAGTTCCTATTACAGTGTACATCATCATTGGCTTGTCAGGGTTGCAGCCTAGTCATCTATTATTATAATTAAATTTTATATATATATATATATATAATATTTATTTAATTAACCCTCATGTTCAGTATACTGTATTGTATTCATATATGGGCTCCCAATGATATATGTGTATGTGTTTTACACAGGTGAAAAAAAAACACATTACATATCTTCTCTCTTATTAACTCAGAATGCAGAAATTATCTTCATTAATCTATCAAAGAATTTTTGCGAATTCATTGTATTTATTTATGGTCTAAGCAGCAAGAGTGTGGCTGATGTTTAAAGGACTTTACGACTGTAATACTGTCATCAGCTAATGACAGCACTGCACCATGGGAGGTTGTTAATCGGAGCGGTCCGCTACATCACTAACTCAACTGCTGCTTCGGATCTGGGTCAGGTAGATTACTGTCCATTCGAAAATCTGTTTATTTTTTCAATCTGCTTCTGCCAAGCGTAAAGTTGTTGTATTTGTAGTTAAATGTTAAGCAATCAGAATAGCTATTTACTTCTAGTACTACTGTAATCCTAACCAGGATGGTGTAGTCTGGCTCACACTAAAACCTATATAGCTGTTTTGTGGTACCAGTAGTTCTATCTACTGTATAGCTGCTTCATTATGTTGTGTTCAGTTCATTGACTGCTTTCTGACATGTCTATATTGTACTGTTGCATTAAATGGTACTTTAGATGACACACACATGCACGTTCACGTTCACAGACAAGCTGGTGCATATGAGCACCTGCCCGGCAAAGACTCCTTCCGGTTGTCACTATGGCAACAAAGAAGGCTAATTCCTCTGCTCAGACTTACCTGTCCACTTTTGCTAATTCTATTTATGTAATTGTAAAGTGTCAACAAATCAACAAGAACTAAATTTTTTTTTCTTCTTTTTTTTTTACAATTTTTTAAAGAAAGCAAATGATTAAAAGATCCTCCTCTGATGTTCTTTTATTTGGACAATTGTAATTAAGTTTATTGATTTATGAAGCATAATTTTTGCACAATTATCTGTCCTACGTTTATAGCTACTGGGCACTAATATCATTTACAACTCAGTCATGCTCAGTCAAGGTTGTAGTGACTAGCTGAATAGCTGTTATGTAATGCATGTTTATTGCTTTACATGCTACTCTCTATCATATTTTTCACATAATTTACAAAAAAGCATTACAAATGCCCAAGAGTCGAAACAATACATTACTACTGCTGAACAGAATATCTGCATAATAATATTTTCAGAATTTTTCATCTGTAAATTATTCTGTACAAATTAAATTAACTTGTTCAAGTTAATTTTCTTACTTGTTGAGGTTAATTTTTAGTTATTGTGCTTGCTTCGTAAAGATGGTAAAATATACTAGATGGCATTGCTACATTGCATGCTGTACAGTCAGATGAGTTGATTTTTCTCTTGGCATATTTAATGAAGTTTCTGTGGTCCACCAAATTAAAATGAACCCTCCTTTGTGTTTTGAGGAAAGTGGAACAGAGGGACACTTTGTACTTGTCAGCGCTTCTTGATTGCATTGAATGAACAGGAATCCCATCCATGCTGTCGCTTTGAGTGCTCTGACCCTGAAATGGGGAACAAAAGTGTCCGGTTTTCCAGGCCACGCCGGAAAATTTTGTTTACTGATTGAAACATTTTTTCTCCCTTAGAATCAAAGAAAAACTAACCAGACATGGAGGATATTGTTATAGCCGGAATTTCAGGTCGCCTTCCTGAGTCAAACAATTTGGAAGAATTTTGGCAGAACCTTTTCAATGGAGTGGACATGGTCACAGAAGATGACAGGCGGTGGAAACCAGGTATGCTAATAATATTTGAATGTCTTTATCACTTTGAATAATTTTTATATCATTTTAAATAACTTTTAAGTAACATTTAGACTTAATTAACATGATTTTTATCATAATGCTTTCCTTAAGACCACCCTGGGGTTTGTAGTGTCTTCCATCTGCTGGTCTCCTTGCCTACCTGGCTGCTGTTCTGTGCTTTTCCTTGTCCGTCTGGCTTTGGGTCTTATGAAGGGCCCGTCTCTCTTCTCTCTGTTGGCACCAAGCTAATACTCTCATTCATGTGCTAAAGCACAAGCAGGCTTAGGGCGATGAGTAGAGTGCGCTTTTGATTCCTTTTTTCCCTCCTTTTTTAAAATTCTAGGTCTGTATGGCCTTCCCCGAAGAAATGGAAAACTAAAAGAAATCGACAGATTTGATGCAGCCTTCTTTGGTGTGCATCCCAAACAGGCCCACACCATGGACCCACAGCTGAGGCTTATGCTAGAGATATCGTACGAGGCCATCGTCGATGGAGGTTAGTCTCAGCTGCCCTCTTAGATAATAGGTATTAAATAAGGTATTTTGTGGTAGTTAATGCCCTTGAAAAATTTAGGATAAATGCGTCTGCCAAATTGATAAATGTAAATGTTATTTTCAGGCATGCGCTGCTATATGGGTATATGAAATGTAGTTGATGTCTTGTGGTATTACATGCTATACTCTAAAACTATGTAAAACATTTTATTTTATTTTATTCAGTATGGATGCATTGAAGTGAGAGTAAAGACAGTTATAATGTTAAAGATTTCTCTTAAATAAATGCTGTTCTTTTTGACTTTCTAATCATCAAAGAATCCTGAAAAATGTCTATCACAGTGTCCGCAAGAATATTAAGCAGCACAACTGTTTTTAACATTGATAATAATAAGAA